AGGACTTACGCCACGGCCCTGGGCCAGGGCGCCTTCCTCCCCGCCGAGCTGTGCTTGCAGCGGCCCGACACCGAGGTCCACGTCGAGTGAGCTGCCGCCGGGGGGGGGACCGAGGGGATAGAGCCTAAGCAGCCTCTGCTGGACAGCGGACTGTTTTATTTTTTCAGATAGAAGAGCAAAAAAAAGAAAAAAAAAGAAAAAAAAATCCCACAAAAAAAGACACATCCCCACCCCAACGAGCAAAGCAACCCCTCCCCTCCCAGCCCACCACTCACTGTTTTTATGTAGTAGAGATTTAGCTTTTCCAGGTAGTTTGGGATAACTGGAACGCTCGGGCAGGCTCTTGGCGCGCAGCGAGGTTAGGAGATAGGCCGGCACCAGGGAGGCAGGGAAGAGCTGGAAGAGAGGGGCAGCGGGGAAGGAAAAGAGGATTTTCCTTCCCTGGCTTCGACACGGGCTTCCTCGCGTGGTCCTGTGCATGGTGGTCATTGCACGCTGCTGTTCCCCGTGTAAATCCCACTGGTACCAGGCGGCCCTTCCCACCACTAGCTTCCCAGGAAGGGTCTGGATGCCATCCCTGGGGGGAACCAGTGCTTTATCCTCCTTGAGTTAGAGCTGGGAGGAAAGACCTGAGGTCCTGCCTCCAACCAGACAGTTTTTGCTCAGCAGAGCCACTCGAGCTGCGTTCACGCGGGTCGGAGCCCGTTTGGAATTCACCTTTGGAACCAGTTGGGAATACGGCGCACTCCTGAAGTTGCCTCCTTAACGAGCTGCTTCCCACTGCAGGCAATCGGATCACTCTCAATTCTGGAGGCCAAGCTATAGAAGCCAAGTAGGGCAGGTCTGCATTTCTCTAGGCCACATCCTGCTGCTCTGGGATCAGGGAACACTCCTCCAGACCTGAATCCTGCAGGATGTGGCTTTGCTGCAGCCTCCTAGTCCTGTGCTGGCCCTGGGAAGCTGTGCCCAGGAGTCACACGCTACCTGGGCGCTTTGAAATAATTTTGCCTCCCTTTTTGTGAGCATAGACCTTACCCCAGTATTCAGCAGGGACAGAAGGCCAGTGCCCTCCTCGTAACACACTGCTCGTGTTGTCCTAGGTATTTAAAAGCTTTGTGTGTTGCAGAAGGAGTCGGGCAGCGTCTTGCAGCCGCTCGGCCCTCCCCGAGCTCAGCACAACCCCACTTATCAAGCACATCCACCCCCTAGCCAGGCCTTGCAAGCAATACTTGAGATTTAGGAGTCTTCAACGCAAATACCAAGGCCGTTTCCTCTTCTGGTTGGTCCAAGACCTTCCCTACCTGCTTTGAGTCCCTGATGTCTTATTAACCTGGAGGTCCTGCGGTTTGCACGCAGCTGGGAAAGCTAAAGGGAACTTGTATCCCATGCTTTTTTTTTTTTTGAACAAAAAGTTTTGTGGCTATTTTGGGGCTTTTAAATCGTAAGGAAAAAGTGCTTCTAGTAGCTAGCCAGGCTTTACCATCTGCTTCTTTTAATCTTGTAGCCCTGTCCGGGGCTGTTTCCGTAGGGAATGGCACCTTATGCTCCTCCTTTCTTGTGCAGTGCTGCTGTTGAGCTCTTCTTATGTGCTATGGAAATCAAGCTGGCGGGCAGCAAAGCAAAGCACTGTGATCCAGGTCACCACAGCCCCCGCGTGACCAATGACCAGGCGGAGGGGCTCGTTCCTTTGGGAAAAAATTGCTTTTAAGAAACGAATAGAAGAGGGGTCCTGCGGGCTGCCCTGCCTGCATTGCTGATTCCCCAGCGAGGCCGAACACTCCAGCTTCCTTGGTGCAAGCTAGCCCAGGGAGCCCGATTTAAGGACATGCTCCCAACAGAGGCACTTCGGTTGTTTTGGGGTCCCACCCCTTTTTTTTTAGGGCTCCACCATTGTAGCACAGTCTCCCCTGCCGCCCGATACCTGCTAAGGTCTCCAGTTGAGGCAGGGGCCCACGTTTGGTTCAGGCTGTTTGGGATTCAGGTAACAAGAGCTGGAGGTGAAGCCTCCCTCTCCACGAAAGCCTTAACTCTCCCCTCCTGCTCCCCCAGCAACTCCTTCTTCTTAACCTCGGTTTTGGCCTTACGTTAACCAGGACTATCCTCCTACCAGGGGGCTGAGCTCGGCTCCCACCCGCTGCAAACGCCTCTCTGGATGTTCCTGCTCGAAGCCACTGTCTCCCTCCAGGTGCCAAGTGCCATCCCTGGACAATTTCTGCTCCTTCTAGACTTCTGCTACCGCTCCCCGGGCCCCCGAGCCCCCTTCTCTTGGTGTTGCTGCCGCCCGCAGCCCGAGCCCACCATCGCCCCACGTCCACCCCACGAAAGCCATATCGTGAACTATGCAGTTCTGCTCTTGCACTGTGGTCAAGCTGATGCTCGTTAGCCAGGCAGGTTTCCTCTCCCTGTAGATGGGGGTCAAGAAGAGCCAGAATCGTGGCCCAGAGTGAGGGGAGCCGGCGGCACCGGGGACTAAGCAGGGTGGGTGATGCAGAGGGAGCGCAGGAGCTCAGTTCTTCGCACCCTGGCGGAGGAAGAGGAGGAAGGGGCAGAGCCAGGCGAGTAACAGCCACCTGCAAGTCCAGTTCTGCTCAGGTTGAGTCATTTGCTGCCTAACCTCATCCCCTACCAGCTGTCAAGCAGCTGTGCTTTTATATAATTCCCCTATACTTGCCAAGAGCTACCTGCATTCTAAAAATTGCTGCTTCCTAAGTTTCCAGCTGACTTTCTCCCTAGCACCTTCAAGAGCTGGGGGTCAGTAACTCTGGATTTCCACCTCGGACCGGGATGTGCAGGAGCCCTTTGCTGGAGAAGGGGGAGCGCAGCCGTTAGGTGAGTCTCTAGGATCTAGCCCCTGTGAAGTCTTAAAGCATTAATTGACAATTTTTGGAAGCCTCGTCAGGTGGAATCTGTGTATTTGACTGCACACCCACAACTTCGTGCCTATGTCTTCCCAGAGAGCCTCGTCTTGCGCTCAGTGCTTGGAGGGGGGTCAGTCAGGATTGCACAGTGGTCCCAAGTTGCTTCGAGAAACCAAAACCGACTTGAAAACCCGTCGTTCCTCCCTAACCTCAGCCAGCGCGCGCCCCGCGTGTCCTCTGCCATTCCTCAGCACCTCGAGGGGCGCTGACGGGGCGACGTGTTCTGCGTTAGGAAACCTGGACGAGCCCCTTTCCCTTCAGTTGAGCCTCGTGCTGCAGAAAGCCCCTGCTGAAGGGCACGGGCTGGTTTAAATGTTACCCCTGCGCGTGCAGAGTTTGGCCTTGTCCAGGTTAATGTGGGGAGAAAAGGGTTGTTTTGCAGTTCATTTTCCTGCTGTAGAAGACTTGATTTTTTTTTTTCCCTTTCCCTGAGCCGCATGAGAGAAGCGTCCCAGAAAGTCTTGGGTTACCTTCAGAGTTCCCTTCTCTTTAATTTATATAGTGTCTTTTTTTTTTTTGTGAACTGGTGTAAAATGTATATGCCGACAAGCTCCTGTATTTTTATGTAAATATTTTTTGTGGTTTCCCCACTCCCTCTCTGTAAATATTTAGACTTCTCCTCCTTCTCACCTTGTAAGATGCAGACGTGGTTTTGTTTCCGTTTTTTATTTGTACTGTAATGCAACAATCCAGACTGAGGTGTCTTGTGGTATTAAACAAAAGCAACAGTCCCACTGAGCCCACACTCAGATGTACAACTTGACAGCATTAATTAAGCCAGGTTAAAAACTATTCCTTTGTGTCTGCGTGTATTTGTGCCTCTGCCTCATTAATTAATAGTGTATTAAGAACTGGCCAGGGGGGACAGAGCCTGTTTGGAGGAGCTGGTATCTCTGAAGATGAAGGATGGGTAAGTGGGACTTCACCTGCTAAATCCATCCCAAAATTGCTCACTAAAGGCCTCTCCCCCTGCTTAGCTGTTCAATTCCACATGAAGCAGAAGTGTTTCATAAAAGGAGGAAGAAAAAACCCAGGCAAGACACAAGCAAGCACAAAAAGTGACCTGACCTGCCCAGCCTGGCTCTCCTCTCAGCGCGAGGAGAAACGT